GTCTTTCGAAATCTAAGCTTTAGTTCTTTCTAAAGGTTTTTAGTTAGAAACAGGTCAGGCGATTGGCTGGGCCATTCTAGCATCTTCATCATCCTGGTAGATGGCAGCAGATTTTCATAAAGAATATCTCAGTTTCCATCGATCCTTCCTTCAATCATATGAAGCGTGCCAGTACCATATGCTGAAAAACAGCCCCATACCGTGTTGTTCCCACCTCCAAACTTCACTGCTGTTGTGGTGTTTTTGGGATGAGTTGCGGTGCCTTTTGACCTCTAAACATGGTGTTTATTATGGCACCAAAAAAGTTCCATTTTAGTCTCATCTGACCAGACTACATTTTCCAAGTATTTCACAGGCTTGTCTAAATGCTGTTCACCAAACTTTAAACATGCTTCAACATGTTTTTTCTTCAGCAACGGAGTCTTGCGTGGTCAAAGTGCATGCATGCCATGGCAGTTGAGTGCATTACATGTTTTTTAAAATAATTTGTACCTGCTGATTCCAGGTAGCTTCCCACAAGCGGTCCTTTGCTCTCTGACAACTTTTCACTCTTCTGTGTGAAATCTTGTGGGGAACATCTGGTCGTGGTTGTTTAAATGATGGTGAAATGATGGGGCCCCCACTGTATTATGGCTCCAACAGCGCATCATGAGCGGATCTTAATTTTGACTAAGTGGCAGAACTGCTTTCTAATTACTGATAGATTTCAGGCGTGTCATGATGTTCCACACCTCCCTTTCTTCAGGAGTTCAATACGTTTTCCCTCTGTCATTTCTAATTATTGCACATAATAATTTAGGGACACCTACAGTTTGATTTTTTGCATGTGTGGACTGGATGAGTTGTTACCATCCAGTGAGTTGTTGCTTTTGATGTAAGAGAACTAGCAGCTCTGAGACCCTCTCTCTAAAGCTGAACCCAACCTTCAGAGGAAGCTTGTTTCTGCTGCTTTGACCTGTAGCTCCAGGCCATATGTAAGCATGGGAATGTAGATCAACCAGTAACCCAACACTTCAGCTCTTTAGGTGGAGTGTTGACTAAACAAATACCACTGTGATTTTTCTCACATGCACAAAGTCAAAATAATTGTGTGTTAGATTACAGATAACCTCAAAGAACAGACAAATCTAATAGAAATCCTCACATAGAGTGTTTACTAATGTTCCTGAAATAACCTTTGATTGCAATGACTAATGCTAAAACAGCACCACTCATTCCAACTTCCCAACCTGGTTTATTTACTTAGCACATAAAGTTCTGGTACTGTAAAATCGAAAAAGATCAGTATAGATGGCAGTTCTTACAGTCCAGTGTCCAGCGCACAGGTTCTGAATAGCTCCAGCTGAAGCTTCCAACACTGTGGCGTTTTGGGACTCCTTTACCAGAGACATGTAGATGCGAACCACCTCCGGCTGATACAAGAGCTCATAGCCTACAGGAAACAGGCAGAGAGTGGACACGTGTGTGATGGGAACATTGATAATGTAACAGCTCCTTCATAAAGAAAGAATCTTTCAGGAGTATAAAATACAGACATATTAATTATTGAACAATATGTGCAGGGATATGTTAAGGAGTAATTCTTGAAAATCAAACAGGATTAGTGTTCCTGAATGTGGTATGAAGATGGAGTGATATCTGTTCTTTATCCAAGTACACAGACGGTTTTCTTTATGCCACCCTCCAGATAACACAGCAAACGTCTATACTATCATCAAGCCGATAGGCACTCGGTAAGGGCTTCAGTAGAGCCAAAACAAATGGTGCCCAACTGTCTGCTCATTAAGCTCCAAAAGCCTTGGACAGAAGATCTTACTCCAAATATTAACTCTTAAAACAGCAGAGACGATTGATAGAGAAGCAGAAGACTCAGGAGGAGCCTGACCACTATCACATCTACATTTGTCATAGTATAATAAATCTTCCTTTACATCAACCCCTGCGATAGAGAGAACGTCTCTGTTGTGGTGTCTTGAAAGCCTCTTAAAGCACAGCGAGTCCAATCAGAGAAAAGGGCAGAGATCCCCTGTGTGTCTGTCTGTGAGATTGTTTCCACGTGAATGCAAACAACATCCACTACTCCTAATCTCCCATGAAAAAGTGCACAACAACAACAACAACAGCTCTTTCCAGAAGCACGTTATGATGACGTATGAAATCGAAAATGACAAGAGAGGCAGAAATCTGCAAAACTTTCAAAAAGCAAAGGCTGCAACTCATTTCCTTTACTGTCCCCATCCACTTCCTGTCTTTCTTTTAGCGCTCACATTGGCTGCCCTTACATGACCACTCTGCTCAACAGGACATCATCTCATGAGTATTCATGGTCCAGATTTAGATTTTTGTCCTGTAGATCAGCGG